TTGCACAGGTTGCTAGTATTACCTTGGACGCAGATGAAGATGAAGTAGCTGTCGTAAATCAAGAGAACAAACCTTTGAATGAAGAGAAAGCTTGGTCAGACATAATTCCTGAATCAGAGAGGAGAAAACTTGAGGAAGAAGAAGAACAGAAAAAACAACTGGAATTGTATTTGCCAAAACGAAACAGAAAAACTGTTAAAAAGGTATTTACCTATATCTGCTGTGATGTAATTATTTGAGCTTGGAAAAGTTAAGGATAAACTTTCAACATCACTGAATGTCCAGAAGAAGAACTGAGCCTGAAAGATATTTAGTGTTAATCCATCCAGGGGATTTTGTTTTTCCAGCATAGGTCAAGAGGGGCTGTTCTTGCAACCTTTCATGTGTAGACTGATTAGGAGAATTTGTTGACTGAACAAGGCCTTTTTTTTACTCTCCACAATCTTTAAGTTTGGATAAATAGTGTTGTTTTAAGAGAAAATATTACATGCCAACCACCCTTATCATATATAGAGAACTGAATTTAGGGTTGCCGTTGTAGCTAAAAACATAATGAGAAAGAAATAAACTAAAGTTACCTTTTGAAACGATTCTTTTCCTGCTTCGGGAAAAGTTTTGTTTACAATATTATTATAAACAAAAATTTTTATAACTCAGAGCAAAGATAGTTTGAACCAAAACATTTCGACATTATCAACAGCTGTAAACCTCTTGATCAAAATGTTGAAGTATTGTTGAGATAATATAGAAATATTTGGCTTAAACTATCTTTGCTCTGAATACAAAAATTTTCTCTATAAAGTCGAGTTACAGTATTCTAATTCCTGTGAACTAGAGTGAATGACGTGGAAATTTGAGCCTGTGTATGTGCATGCTGTTATCATACCATACTTTGTTCAACATGCAGTTTGACATGAAAATAAATGATTGCAGTTTATCTTTTTTAATGTGGCTGAGAATGAGGAAGAAATTTGCCAAAGGAAGGTAATTTACAAGAGAACACTTGGTCTCCTGGTAGCTACATGAAGTTAAACGGGACCGTCAGAAAACTAAGTCAGCCCAGTTCACACAAAAGGCTGCTAGCAGAGTTGCTAGGTGTTAAAAACCCTAGCATGAGGAGTATTATTAACATTTTATCAACAGATGAACTATGGCAAACCCGGTAATAGTGACAGTGAACAGGAAGGAAGGTCTAAAAAAGCAAGAGGTCGGAAGAAGAAATCAGAATCCGAAAGTGATGACGATTCTGGTGGTGAAGGGAAAGAAACAAAGAGGAAGCGAGGGAGGCCACGGACTATCAAGAGGGAAGATGTTGAAGGCTTCAATGATGCTGAAATAAGAAGGTTTGAACTAAATGGTTTTGGTTTATTGCTTTTTTTGGGGAGGGGGGGGCGGGGGGCGTTCAGTAACCTATGACCTACTACTGTAAGTGTGCTCAAAATATACAAGTAACAAGTTTTGTTAGTAGTGAGGATGTGAACAGCAAGTAGGGACTGGGTCCATTTAACTGCTTCTACACCCTCCCTCCCTCGCCCTCCGCCAAAAATTAAAAAAAAAAAAATGAACTATAAGGGAGAAGAAAGTGAAGGCTTTTGACAAATTTTCTTTCCTTTAGGATTAAACGTAGAGAAAGAGAGTGCCTTGCCTTGTCGTGCCTCCAGCTCACAACATGCTACATGCTGGCAAACGTCTAATTTTTCCCCTCTAGTGCTCTATTAGATTTCTTTGGTTCGATAGAAAAATATTTACTTTTGTTTGATTCCATCCTCTAGATTTGTGAAAAGTTACAAGAAGTTTGGAAGGCCCAGAACAAGGTAATTTTAAAACAGCCTACTGGATTTTTGCTTATTCGTTTGTTAGTTTTCACTTGTACATAAATCACTTGCTCTAGGTGAGACATGAGTTTAAATCCTTCTTAAACCTTTTACTCTCGCGAGTGTGAAAAATCAAATAGTAGCTTGTAAAATAAGGGAGAAGAGGTTTAATTTGCATGGTCACACCATAAGATTTTGGCCACCGGCTCAAAAGTTAGATCCCGTTGTATAATGAATCAAAACAAGTGAAAGTACTGCTGAAGAAGATTTTTTGATTTTTGAATGGTCAAATCACAGGAAATCCTCCACGGGCTCAAACGTTAGAGCCTTGTGCGTAATGAGTAGTACCCTGTTAGTCTTTGTATGTAGTATCATGAGATTTCATTTGCAGATTAAAAACTAGAAGCTGTTTACGCAGCGCACGTATAAGTACCACCTTTTGAAAGTGAGGGCGAATGAAGTTTCTTTTGAATACTTACACCACAGTAATAATCATCCGCACACTCAAATGTTTGAACTACATGACACATCTCCCTAGTTTAATGGAAGGATTTTCGCATAATTTGTGTCCCTACATAGACTTGAATCAATTGCTACTGATGCTGAATTAGATGATAAATCGACTGAGGATCTTACGAGACTGGCAGATATTCTTCACAACAGCTGTATCAAAGCTGTAGCAGAATACGAGGATAAACTGAAGGAAGATCCTAACTTTGATGGTAGGTTCTACTAGAACTGTGGTCTAACTTTCTATCATTACGTGTAGTATGCTTACGCTCAAGTCAACTCAGTTCCTCGCACATCTCCTCTCCTTAATTTTTCATTCAACAACTAGCCAGGCACGTTATCTCTTAAGTGTTCTGTTTGGGGGTGTTACGCACTTCATTTTTATCTTCTTTTCTCGTTGCTGTTGTTGTGGTTTGTTTGTTTGTTTGTCTGGGTCAGTCCATTTCATAAACAGAGGAGGGGAAGGGTGGGTTTGTCATATAAGAAGGCTTTGTTACCATTGGTGTATGGAGAGCTGGTTTGAGAGCCTGGGGCCTGTTTCTCGAAAGGCCCGGTAATTTTTCGGGCCCGACGGCAAATTTTAAAATCCAGACCAGTTGAATAGTAGCACAGTTCCTTACCCACAAACCAGTCAGTTTTGCATCGTCAACTGATAGTTTCATTGTATTATTCTCAAAATCATTGAAAGTTTGCTCTTGAATGCAAACACAGCAAACACAAAACAGCTTTTCGGGCCCGAAAAGTTACCGGAACTTCCGAGAAACTCCCTGGTTGTTTCCTCGAAAATGGCCAATCTATCTCCTGTACCAAGATTGGATTGGTAGCGTTTTCAAAAAGTATCAAAACTCATGTAGAGAACGAAATTTTCTGCTGAAGTGGGAAATATAATGAGTTTCCTTGGATCCAATTTGCTTTGATGGAAGGAAAGATGTTCTACAATTACAGTACGTTCTGGAAGGAAATGAACATGCAGCGAAGAATAGTTCGTTCTACAAGGGTTCCAAAGGGCTATAAGCACAATTTATTAATACCCTACCAATAAGTTCCTTTAATACATGTATTTTGATAGTCAATTGCCTTTTACTACAGAGCAAGCAAAAGTTTAGGAGGGCAACCAAAACTTGAATTACCGTTGCCTAATGGGACAATTAACAGTCAAAATTAATTTCTAACCCTGTTTTGATTCAGGTAAAAAGCGTGGTGCTACTGTGCGACTTAGCAATGTAACTGTTAATGCACCATCAGTGTTAAAACATGAGGAAGAATTGGAATCACTAACAGCCATCATGCCCGCAGACTTTGACGAGAGAAGAAAGTGAGTGCAAACTGGGATAATAGATATTTATTTAACGGCTATTACACGAACGCTCAAATTACAGACAAGGAAAATTGTTGAGGAATATCTCTACCAGAAGAGGACTTAATTGCCGCTTTTCTCATACTGTTCCTTAGCCTGCGAAGCGCAGACGTATTTCCGGTCGTCGCCTCTCTCCCTCCGAAAATAGTTTTCGGAGGGAGAGAAGCGACGACCGGAAATACGTCTGCTCTTCGCAGGCTTACTGTTCCTTAGGAAAACGTCTGAGTTATTTTTCTCAGATTTGACATTCCTGGGTACGACGTGATGTCATAGATTATGTTATGTGGGCGGGAAACAGTAAACATTTGAGAGCTTTAGAAGCACGTTTACGGCAAACGTGAAATTGTGCCACGTGACCAAGTTTTCTGTTTACTTGTGGTTTGCTTTTCATTATTTCCATCACGGAATAAGGTGTTTCTTGTTACCTTCATCTATCAGATTTGTTTTGGACAAGCCTTTATCTGTTCATTTTCCAATTCGATAAAAATTCTCAACTTGCATCTTTCCTTTGCAGTTTCCGTAAACGTGACTTTGAACCTCTCTAATGTTACTTGCCACGTGGCCTCGAAGTAGCCAATTTGAGTTAGCCTGTACACAGACGTTGTTTTATTTTCCTTCTCGTTCTTTTCAAAAACATCGGCGAGCGAAGTGAGCACACGAGAACGAGCGCGGAGCGTCTTTTGTCTTCTTCTCCATCGCTACCCCCTTACGCTGGCGGTCAATAAATCCCCTGCGGTTTATATTTTATCACCCACGCTCGACGAACTTTGAAGAGAAAATGGAGAGTCTGTGAAGAGGCTAAATTTGAGTGCACAGGGAAAACTGTTAACTGTGCTACAGAGTTATTTGTTGCTTTTTCTAACATCGTGTTTCTTTCAGATTCCGCCTGATGGCACCTGCTAAGAGTGTTCATTGGGGTGTAACATGGGACGTGCCAGATGATTCCATGTTACTTGTAGGCATCTTCGAGTATGGACTGGGCAGCTGGGAAGCTATTAAAGCTGATGAAAGTTTGTCACTTACTTCTAAGGTAACAGAATAAAAAGTATACTTAGATTAGTTTGGAATAGGAGAAGACTTAGTTCGAATAGTGGCGTTGTAAAGGGGCGCGGTCTGTATCATTATAATATAGGTTTCTCGGAGTTGACTTGTTCTCCAGTCGACATGAAAACGGTCGTTGCATACTTGCATTAGTTCCAGATTTCCACGTTATTAGCTTACGTTTTGTGTGCTAGAAAGTGTAGGGTAAGGGTCTTACAATAAACGAAAAAGCAGACTTAAGAAGCAAAAGATTTACTGCGGGATGAGCGCTTTTCGGAGGTTTCTTAACAGTTCCGAGAAGAACACAACATCTAAATCGAGAGACCGTTTGGTTTGAAGGCAACACATCACAGAACAGAACACAAACTCAGAAACCTGATATAGATATCCATGGCAATTTATCTCAGGAAGGGGCAGACACATTGACGGTTTTATCCTTCCCGAAGTAAAGGCATTTTTTCCGCGAGAATAAGGTGCGATGTATTGAGACTGTTCTTTTGTTTTTTTAGATCCTTCCTCCTGGAAACTTGAAACCGCAAGACAAACATCTTCAGACGAGGGTAGAATATCTGATCAAACTGTTGAAACAAGCTGCTTTAGAAGACGAGGCTGAACAACTTAGAAAGGTAATATATCTTCCTCTTGGCTATGGCCTCTCTTCACTACACTGCTAGCACTCTTTTTTTTCCCCTCAAAAACGCATGATGTCGGCAACGATGTCGCGAGGCTTGAGAAACGAGGGTGTGACAGCGTCACATATATGAATCCAACCGGCACTTACTCTGAAGGAAAATTAATCGGCCTTTAAAGAAAGGATATAATTTTGTTAATAGGCTGAATAGGGAGGAGACGAAGATGCACCACGCAACCATGGTATCAAAATTTCCGTGGATCTCAACAAACTATGACAGAAAAAAAAAGACGAAAAAACTGACACGTATGAATTTCTTGTGCATTGCACTCGGGGACAAAACGATAGCCCGTACTTTTCTTCCATCGTTCGACACTGCAAATGACCGTCTCTGTCAAGAAAAATTGTTGAGGTCCAGAATTTTTGAAACTATGGTAACATGACGTCACACTTCTCCTCTCTGTAGTGACCTGGACGAATTGTTCAATAGACGACTACACTGGATGACCAACTGTGCCAATAGCCTGCGAGCGGGCTCACCTGTGCGAATTCGGGGAAAATTTTGGCGGTGGAGCAGCCATACGTTAATGACAAACCAATTTCGTTATCCAGGCCAACCGATTATTTATTCTTTTTTTTTTTCCTCAGTCATCTCAGATGATCAAGTCAAAAATACGCCAACTGAAAAGAAAAGAAACGAAAAAAGGAAAGTCACACTCCGATGTGGAATCTCTTAGTAACAGTGCTGTTCCCTCGCCAATGGGGGTGGTGTCCCCCCCTGACCATTCAGCAGAAACTAAAGACGATGGAGTCACTGCTGATGTAAATCAGGAGGGGCAAGTGGCACCAGAAGGGAAAAAGAAAAGAAAAATGACCAAAAAGAAAGAAAACGGCAAAGTTGAAGGAGAAAAGGTCAGTTTTCTTTACTTATTTTAGTACTTGTATCTTAAGTCTATGTTCTTGCCAAAGATTATATATAATTAAAAATAGAGCAGAAACAAAAAAATAATATTAATATCCCTGCTAATGGAGGAAAGCTAGCTTGTTTTCTTTCCCTAAACAACCTTGTGAACCTGATACTGCATAGCTGTTAAACACACGCATAATTTCCGATCTTACTTGCTGTTATTTTAGATGCAACTGCGTTAATTTATTCAGAAATCTTTAACCTTTATCTACACTAATCCATCCTCCTTGAGGAAATCCCCTCGATAATTTTTTTATCTTGAATCGACGCAGAAATGGTTAAAACGGATTAGAAAGGAGCTTTCTGCACTGCTATTATTCCCTTTGATTATATTCTTTGAATAAAAGTTATGGTGATGTTACAAGAGATGATTTACAACGACGATTTTTGTGGCAGCTCTGTTGGAACAATGTTGTAACAGTTCGAAACAATGTTGCAACAATATTTAAGGCTGTGTTGCGCTGAAAATCGTCGTTGCCAATCGCCTTATGTAGGTTTCCCCTTAATGTTAGTGTGCACCTCTTTTTTCCAACGCAACACCGGATTATTTTGTTGCATCGGATCTTGAAGCCATCTGGAGCCTATCAGTCTTCGTTAAGGGTAGTGACTCGTCGGACTTCAAAGGACTTTGCTCGGACACTAAGCTTGTGACGGAGTACCAAAAAAAGTACCAAATATTCTTTAATTCTGAAATTCAGAAAGAGTCCACTGCCCTTTGTTTTTGACACGAGCTGCACATGATATTCAGCAACTTCTCGATAATTTATTTAACAGCCGCATTTGGCAAACAAACGCGCCAGTGTAGCTTTGGTTTAGTCAATGTGTGTTTTAACTTCTAAACGCTGCTTTCTGTTTGTTCGCTTGTTCTGTCCAAGAGAAATTTCTAAAACTTGATACGCATTGGATCAAAAAGAAAGTCTACTTTGTCCTCTTTTTCAGCCAAAACGTCAAAAGAAGGAGAAGAAGGAAGTACCTAAAGACAAGAAGCAGGATGTAAAAGAAGTTGCTGTAGATCATGAAGAACCAGCGTCACCTGTGAAAACAACAGAGGAGGCTGGTAAACCTCAAGGCTCGTATGCGCTGGCAGATATGGACAAAACAACATTTGATGAGGTACGACCCAAGGCTTTTTTTTTTCGTTTTATGTTTTCATATGGTCAGGTGGTAGCCGCACACATGATGTACAAACGCGGTTGATTAGCACAGAGGGGTTTTTGGAGGGGGAGGGGGGACTTTCAACTCTGTATATCTCACGGAGTACTAACAGTGGGCACATTTTCCCATGTACACACGTAAAAAGTGACAGTTAAAATTTATAACAAAATTTGCTGGTAGACGGGGGCTATACTCCCGAAATGTAGGGAAAAAGGGATAGGGAAATAGATATTGTCCGGTCAACTTTAGTTCTTTATGACAGTAACAATCTTTCCTCAAAATATTTGTATAAATCTTAGTCAAGTTAAGTCTACTACGTTCTATGTTCTGAAGCGCCACAGGATTTTAAGGATTTTTTTGCTAAAAAATCAAATCATTTATTTATTTTTTCACGTTGTAGTGCAAGGAGAAGATGCGTCCAGTGAAACGAGCACTAAAAATGCTGGAGAGTCCTGAAGGAAACACAAAAGAAGAAGATCAAGTACAACAAACAAGACAGGTACATGATTTATTGTTGGTTTTCAGATGACGTCACTAAAATTCAAACTACAAAACTATCGATCCTTCAGAGATTTTACTTTCATGATGTATCAGAGCAGATAAAAACTAATATTCATACAAATTTTTGCTTCGACAGGGTTCTTGGTTTTGTGGTAGGGTACGCTCGAATTTCTAAGCTTTTGCGTGACGCGGCATTTACATGACGACCGAGAGCCGTCATGTAGGTTAAAAAATTGACTTGTGTCGGCCAATTTTGCTATCTGAACAGTTCATGTATTAGAAAAAGTATAACTTTAATGTTTATGAGTTTCTCGAGAGATAAATTTACGCTTTTGTAGCAAAACTCGGTGACAGATGTTTCTGTTGGTTTCCGTACGCCATGTTGGTGCCCATCCGAATGGGCACCATCATGGCGTCTCCATACAGATTTCTATAAATTTGGGTAAAACATTCCTCCGGATATCTCGTATATGAAATATTGCTCTGACCTGAATCTTGGCGAGGGTCTTTGCATATTTACCTCCTTTCATTTTCGAGATTCTGGATTTAATTTATTGAACGGTTTTGATTTTTATTTCAAGTTTTATTTTGAGTGGCGTGACACTGAAAACCAGCAATAGGGTTATAACTTTATTCTCCTGCGGGGTAGTGTATCCGAAATTAAGAACTAATTAAGAACCTCCTCCCCTCTCCCTTTCGCTACTATAACACCGAACATATGCGTTATTGACCACGCGTGATTTTGGCCAATATCTTTTTTTGAGTTTTTGTTGAAAGAGACGGAGTCGATGTGTACACAAAAGCAAAAAACTAGGCCAATATCCAGTCACCTCGACTGAATATTACGCTTCGTCGATTAAGTACTCATTTGCAACTTTATAAACGAGAAAAAAACTATGTCGAGTCAACTTTCGCAAAGACTTCTGGAACTGTTACTGGGGACGTGGAAAAAATTAGTCAATAGCTGACTGGTGCGTCCCCAGAAACCATCCCAGAGACAACTTGCGGAACGCATGTTGGCTTCAGTTATCTTCACGTTTCTAAAGTGACGAATTATTAGGTCAAGGGAAAAGTCGCAGAAAAAAATAAATTGATAGGCGATCATCCCCGCTCAAGAAGCCAATCAGAGCACAAGATTCGCTCCTCTTTCCCGCCCGCGAAACCAACCATTTGAAATACAAAAAAGAGCGAAAACAAGAACACTTATTCACTCTTTCAGCTTATAGCGTTTGTCGTTTGTGATTTCAGTGTTTACTAAAGATTGGAGATCATATCATGGACGCCACATCTCATCACAAAGACGACGACACCAAAGCCCTTTGGAGAAAGTAAGAATGTTCTTTAATTTTGCATGATTTCGGTGTGATTGAAAAGATGTGCATTTATTTGCGAAAATCGGGCCGGAAATAATCACTTCTGATTGCTGAAATATTGCCAAAGCTGAGATCCTAATGAGGACACTGTCGTCTGTTGCCGTAGGCTTCAACTGACGGTGTTAAGAGCTTGTATTCCTGTTGCTGTTAATTTCCTTTTAATGCGTTTTTATTCTTTTACATGCAGTAATCTTTGGACGTTCGTGTCAAAGTTCACTTCATTCGAAGCTAAGAAGCTCTTCAAGCTGTACAAGCACGCTGCTAAGAAGAGAGAAGAGACAAAAGCCCAGGAGGTACTGCGGTTTATCTCCT